AAGCTGGGCTTGGAGAGTCGAAGGAAGAAGGTGAATGGAAGTAGAAAACCATCTTGAGCTCATGTGTAGGCAGACAGGACAGCAGAGAGCTGCTCCAGGAGACAGCCATGCAGTGGCCTGGCTTTCAGCATGCTGAGCTTTTGGGTGTAATTTCAAGCCTTTTTCCAAACTATGATGTACAAAGCTTGGTACTTGTTTTATTGAAGTTACTGCTTCAGTTTGTTTTTAAAAAAAAAAAAAAAAAAAATTGCTTCAGACATCTGCTTGTATAAATGAGTGCTGTTCCTTTCATTGATCTGAATGGATTAAATTGTTTGTATATAAAAAATGGTTTAGCAACGAGCTATAATTTAATCAGTCTAGAGATCCAAGGAGCATTTCTGATGTAATAAAGAAGTTTCTTTGATTGGAAGTTCATTTAGCTGCTTTTGTCTGGCTTGTTCTCTTCTTATATTAATGTATTAAATATACTTTGCCTGTTAAAGAAAAATCTTAATTTACAATTTATGTGTTTACTCTCCCTTCAAAGAAGTGCTGTGTGGTTGTATTTCCAAACATAGGCAAGCATAGCTAAGCACTTGTCTGTTACATGGTTTCAATGGCATTATGTTTGTGAAGTGCTTGTGAGAACTGCCACTTGGGAAGATTTGGCGACTGAATTAAGACCTCCTACAAATGTAATGCTCTGAGACTCTAGCCTCAGGAGAGGCTATTTCAAAAGCTGTATTTAGTATTTTGATTCATTGCTCTTGAACTTTAAACATTGCTGCAGTGGCAGATTTTTTTTTTTTCGTCATTTGGCATGCCATAAATAAATCTGTGGGCAGGGGTTTAACGTAGTATTTCCCTCAAATGCAACACAAAAATACTCAAGAATGAAAAGGGGTGATTATAAAGGGTTATTTATAACAGTCTGATCTTCTGACTTGCTTGTGTTGACTTCCCCATGCTTGAGTTCAAAATAGTGATTGTGCCAAGGAACAGAGCATGTTTCCTTCGTAATCCCCTCTCCCATTATGGATTTAATCAGGTACTGCTCTTTAGTTCAAGTATGGTACTTGAATCTTCTGAACTAACATTGTAGAGGGGAATTAAACACACTTGCAGTTGGCTCACAAAGACAACTAACCTCATGGGTAACATCTCCGCTGATGCAGAGCCCCTGGGAGACCGGGGGGACAGGGAGAGGGTCTCCCGGAGCACAGCTGGAGCAGAAACCAGATAAAGCATTTTGGGGAATTCTGCAGCCTTTTCTTCAGGGTCCATCCTGAGCAGATTGTGCTGCTTTTTTACAAAAAGTGCAAGAGGTCCTCGGTTTTGCTCTGAGGTTACCCATCAGTAGTGGGTTTACTTGTATTTTGTAACTTCGGTGTTAAGTGTGTAGAAGAAAGTAGACAAAAAGTGTTGTGAAGCAAACAGCCTGGTCAAGTATTCACCATGTGAACAGGCAGATCCCTGTGTTTGATGTTCCTTTTTCAAGTAGATTCTCTTATTGAAGTGGAACAGCAAAAAGGTGTGCATTATTAACATTTTGAGGCAACAGCTGCCCTGCTCCTATGTGTGAAGGTAACCCTTAAAAATGTTTGTGCATCAGGTTAATTTTCTGTTTTCAGAATATTTAAACCAGAAGTTCAGTAAATGCTTGAAGCCAAGGATGATGCTTTATTACATTAAAAGAAAACAGGCGTTTTTGAACTGTTAAATGTGACAGGATCGTCATTGGCTTTCAAATCCTTTTAGTTTGTCAGGAAAATATGAAGCAAGTGTTCAAGGCAAGTGCTTATCTACAGGCAGCAAGCAGCTCTGCTGAAGTCAATAATGCAAAGTGATTATTTTTGCAATGCAACTGTGTCAAGTTTTTCAAATATTAAATACTTGCCTCACTCTCGCTCATCTGTTCCATCCCACTTCCCTTTCTCAATATCGTAGATCTAAATCTAGGCTAGCCTCAAACTTTCTATAGAAAGTGTTGCCCTCTGATAGTAATTTAGCATTATTTTTTATGGAGCCATGCAAGGGTATGAAATGAATCCAGCAAATCATAAAACTTGAATAGGTGGAAGCATCAGAAACAGTATTAAGAATTTCACATATAAGTTACTCGGTAATAATAATAATCCTTTTGTGCTTTTTGGTCTCTAGAATGACTGTAAAAATGTACAGCATTCTGAAAACTCAGTCTTACAGAGGTGTTTGGGGGGCTTTTTGTGTGTTTGTTTTTTCTTTTGATAGAACTCTGTGCAAAGCCAGCCTGAGTCAGGTGTCCCAAAGTCTAAAAACCAGGGGTCAGCAAATGAAAATTTGGGAGGAATTTTGGTAAACATCAAAAGTGGGTATTTATGGAATGGGAAAATAATTTGACATCACTTACATTTCTGGTTTGAGTTGCAACATTTACTTATGTAAGGTATGGCTCATGGCTGCTTATATTGGAGCAGAATCTTTTGTCTGGAGAGGGCAGTCTGCAAGTGTCCTGGTGGGGTGGTTCTGGGAGAGCAGGGGCTTCAGCACTGTGTTAAAAGCAACGAGAAGGTGGGCTCTTCATTCTGAAATGAATCAATGTGACTGAGTTGCTCTTTTGTTTCTGGTTTGTTTTTTTTTTAGCCATGGTGGTAAATGGTTGAACAGTTGTGAGCAGTTTGCAGCCCTGTGAATGTTATTTTAGTGTTCAGGTAGGATTTAGAAATGGACAGACCCCAGTGTGCTAGTGTGAGCTCCTCATACCTTTTTATGATGTTTTTTTAGTGCTCAGTGTTGCAATTCTGCATCACATTCTCTAGCTATAGTCTGCTGTCACATGGTGTAGATGAAAGACAACTCTTAAAAAGTTAATTTATTCCTGCTTTTTCAAGTGGAAGAAAGCAAATTACTGTGCTTTAGTAAGGTCCCATTATCAAAGGTTGTGGGAAACACACAGTGGGTTAAAATCAGACACAAGACATTCTTAACACCCCCGAGACATTTCTTCTACCTCCCTGAAGGACAATGCAGCCTTTGAGGGCAGCAGTGGAAGGGGCTCCTGACCTTCATCTGCTGGGACGGAGCGGCTGGCTGGAGACTGAGGCACCCTCAGCTGTTCCTGGTTACATGCCCTGCATCCGTCAGTCCTTGGGCTGCCCCATGTAGGGGCACCGGAGCAGAGCAGGCCCTGGCAGCCTGTGCTGTGCACCCTATCATACCTGGATGCAGGAGACTGAAGTGGAAGCTGAGACCTTCATGCCTGTTCCTGCTCTCCGCACCTCCTTTAATCAGTGACTGGCTATTTTTTTCTCTAGCACCGCTGCACTGTACAAATATTTTATCCCCAGGATTGCTCAATACAGGTTTCCTTAATACCATGTTTTGCTAACCTCTGCTGCCCAGTTTCTGTGACAGCAGTTGTAGGTGAACAAGCACAGAACCTAAGTAAAGGGTAAACCAATGACTTTCATCCATTATTTGAAATAGTCCATTTTCTCATACTTGCCAAGTAACTGACAGTGTGGTCATTTGGGAGTGGGGATGACTGCTCAGTGCTGTAATCTTAAAATGAATGGGTAACTGTAATACTTAGGTGTCTTAAATGTGTCCTTTTTGCAGTTTGTGTCTGTGCTGCCACTGAAGATGAGTACATTTGAGAAAGTTGCTGTCTTTGCCACATCTGATGAGTCTTTGCCACATCTGATGATTTTAGAAGCTCCATTAGGATAAGATGCTGAAACTGAAAACTGTCTGACAATATCAGCTTTGCTGGGCAGATTCATGTTGTTAAAGGCAGATAAACTGAGTACGTTGTTTTTGCAAGATCAAAGGAAAATTGGATCGTGAGAGGCAGTTGTCTGGATAATGCTGACATCATGCCTTTTTCATTAGGGCATAATTGGATAGCATTCTTAAGGGGTATGGATTTCTGTGGTCCACCACTGTCAGCAGAAGGCCTGGAACAGGAAAGAAACTGAAATATGCTCCTTTATTGAAGTTCTTTGCTGTGGATAGGAAGTTTTTACTTTGAGGCTTTATCTTTATTGTGAAAGGTACATTTTAGCCATGAAGTGATTAATGTGCAGTGTTTGTGCCGCTACTGGAAATCAGGCAGTGTGGTTTTCATGGGTAGGCAGACAAGTGCTATCAGGCTATAAGGGCAGGAGGTGCAATGCTCATCTTAATTATCTGGTAGGTTTGAGCTCCAGTGCCTGGACTTCAGTGGGATTTTGCAGTAGGGTGCCTTAGTTATGCTGCTACTAAAGAAAATAGTCTCTAGGTAGGCAAGCTTAGCCTCAGAGTTGGTGGTAGGTGATGCTTTTAAGTGTCTTTCTGTAATGTTTGAATCTTGTGCATTTTCTTACTCTGTGAAGGTTGTAACAGAGGATGTGGACTCTTAGGTCAGCGCTAGTGGAACCCGTTTGGAGATGCCCACCCCAAAATAAGCTGTGTTTGACACCATTTGGAGGCAGATTCCCCTGAAGCTTCCTGTTTGCAGGAATTGCAAACCCTCTGTAATTCAGCTGCCTTTAAATAGATAACTTAAAGGCAGTAAAGTGACTTGAGATACCATTCTTGTATGACCACGTATTTCTCAGTACTCATACTACATGTAAATCTTTCTTTGCTATTTTTACACAATTTCGAGTATGTCTGACACTATTTTAATTTTTTAATTTTAAGAATGGATTGCTGAATTAAGTTTTATACCCACCCTTTGAACTAAGCGGTGCAGTCAGCTGGTGGCATATACTAAGGTATTATTCTTCTCCTTGAGCAGAGAAGCAACACGAGTAAGGCTCTTATACACACAGAAAGATCTGAACTTGTATTTGATTATGCAGTATTGGTTTTTGGTGATTTCTAAATATGAAGCATCTGTGAAAGTTTTTTCAATATTTTGATTTAAATTAGTAAAGCATCACCCTTAATCAAGATTTGATTTCCAGTAATTTCATGGTTTAATAGAGAAAATAAAGTATGTGAACGTGTTCAAAACACCTGACATGCGTGCCTAACTGACTGCTTTTCCTTTGCAGGATGTTGTCTGGGGGTTAAACTCTTTATTCACTGTAAGTAAATGAATATTTTGCATATCTACTTTCCTTTTCCCTGCCTGGCTTGGTTTCAGCATCACCTAATGTGAACCCCGTCTGTTGCTTCTTAAACTTACGGTCATTATTTCCTTTGGCTTCAGTGGGTGTTGCACAAGTACAAAATCAGTTTGTGCTTTTGTTTGTATAACTGCAAGACTCATAGAGATAGTCTGCAATGCCAGCTTTGTCATACACCGTTTTTACTTTTGGTTACAAATCTATGGGATATTTTGGTAACTCGGGATCTTCCACACAGTATGAAATTCCTTCCTTTGATTTGCAGGAAATAGACATTCATATTGCTCTGAGAAGGAGTTGTGTTGGTGTTCTGTTCTTTAAAAATGATGCTTAGGAATTAATGACTGCCCTGCAGTCTCACTCCTGTTTTGAACACTTGCATTGCTGTTCACAGGCCTTGGTACCCGCCTGCACAATTTGCATAAATCCTGACTTATCACAGAAATGGTAGATTTTGTTCAGGGATCCCATTTTTCCCCTTTTCCTTACATTGACAGGAGCAAGAAACCTGTGCCTTGTAATTACAGGAGCAGCTTGAAAAATGGAGGAGAGGGCAGGAAGCTGCAAGAGGCAGGCAGGGTGCAACAGCTGCTTTGCCCTAGAAATGGAGAGAAGCTAAGTCTCTACTGTACACAAGCTGCCTTTTTAGGGAGTCCAGGATTATGGTCCCCTTCCACAGCCATTGCTGCTGGGTAGGAAGGTCAGGAGAAAGCAAAGAAAGGCACTAACGTGGTTGCCACATTGGCCATTGACTCTGGAGAAAATTACCACAGCCACTCCAGGGTGTACAGTAGAGAGGAGGCTGTGAAAAGCTTTGGATGAGGAGCATCGCTGTGGGCTTTGCTAGCCCCAGCATGTTTTCAGAGAGAGGAATTTTTTCCGCTGCTACCTGCAGGAGAAGGGGCGGAGCAGTGACTGTGCTGCCAGCACTGTCACTAGGATCATGGTGTGTTTCTAAAACCTCGAGCATAGAACAAGCCAGTGACTGGCTACTAAGCTTTCCTGGCATCCAAAGGCTTGATTTGTTTCGACAGCTTCTATAGTAAATTGATTTAGAAGATTGGAGAGCATTTGCCTTTTCAACAAAGAGTAATTGCGTTTCACAGTTAGTCTCCCTCCGCATGCTAAGTAACTGGAAGAAAGTGAAATCCACTGGAGGTATAAAGAAATGCCTTCAGAGGCAGAACTGCACATAAAAATAATCTGTTGAGCAAACAGCTGCGAAGAGCGATGGTTACACATTGGAGACCACGGGGATTTGTCATGGCTGGTAGGAGCTGTGCTTTCCAGTTTGGTGTCTTGGATTTCCCTCAGACCCAGCTTCTTACAAATAATTAGGCTTTGAAAAGCTGGCGTTGGAGTGTACTGGCCTTGCAGATTCTTTTGGGGTTTTCTTGAAGAAAGTGAGTGAAAATGAGGTGTATCGGTGCCCTGGTTGGAATGAAACAGGGTGTTTGCTGCTTGAAAACAAGTCAGAGTGTGACACGAGCCTTTTCACACTTGTGAAACGATGGCATTTCACTGTTGTCACAGGCTAACCTTAATCTGGGGAAAGCCATCTGGGCTGCAGGCAGAATAGGGGGGTTTGTGATTCAATGTTATTTTTTTAATGATAATTCCTCTTTTATCAGCATCTCGATTTCCTTTAGTTTTAACCCTTGAGCCTTTCTCCTTCTGAAGTTAATATTCATTGAGATTAAACTGACAGACCTGAGATTTATTTTGATTATTTCTGCTCCTTGGCCCCATGTGCCCTTAGCTCTTGGGGTCTTTACACTCCCTTTCCTCTCGGCCCTGTTTTTCTTATTGCACTAAAACTTTCCTGTCTGTCAGGCTCCAAGGTATGTAGTTTCTTCTCAGAGGGAATGAAATTGCCTTGCTATGGCGATGATATTGAGGAAGCTCTTCCTGCTTTATCACCAGGCTGTTTGCAGGGTTTTTTTTAAGGGTTTACTTTACTCTTGAACAAAAATCAACAGGAATTGTGCCTTTGGAAACTTTTGAATGTTCCTTCAAAATTTGATTTAAAACTATCTCAGTTTTTAAATAGAAATGCATCACTGCCTGAGAGAAGCGTCATGGGGCTGTGTGGCATGCCGCCAGATGGGGTTGAATGCCTCGCTGCTGTTGTCCTTTTGATTGCTTGTGACTTGGTTTGCAATCATCAAACTCATTTGTGTCTACTTTTGGCAGGGATATACCTATCAAGGTAGTGAGAAAATGGTGCTATGCTTACTGGTCTTGTCTGCTTTGTTTCATTATATTGTTCGTTAGGGCTTTGCATTCCTTGTGTGATGCAGTGAGTGGGAACCCTGTAATGATCTCTATTTCTTTTCCAGGATCTTTTGAATTTTGACGATCCTTTGAATATTGAGGCTGCAGAGCATCATTTGCGTGACAAGGTGAGTCAGCGGTTTATTTAAAGCATGTTGTTCCTAAACAAATACACATACTGTACTTGGCGATTCCCAGTCAGTCCTTTTAAAGCATTCGAGCTGGTACTTCAGGCAGTCAAGTGACTCATTGTATCAGCAACCAGTTATTCAAACAAAATGCACTTTATCTGGGAAAGTAAACTCAACACAGTAGTGTTATTCACCATATGCTAGAATTGTTGACCATAATGTAGTCATATCCCCAAAATAGATGATCTTTTCCTTCTTGTTTCTGAGCTTTTCCCTGAAGTTGTACATGTTCTGTGCAGCAAATGATAGTGAATTGGTTTGGCGCAGTTACCTGAGTAGCCTTTACATTAAGAGATAAAAAGATCTCATCCTTCTGTCTCTTTCAAAATGCAACTTTTTCTGCACAAGTCTTATGTGTACATTAAGCCAGGAGAAACCTGGGCTTGTTTAAAAGACAGGCATGGAAACTTTATCTTCCTTTTACTGGTCCTATTTGTTCTGTGTGGCCAAAGCAAAACACAGTATTGATCAGTGGTCTGATGAACATCTGAGAGATGTACCTCTCAACTGAGATTGTGGATGAATTGAACAAAGAACTAACTTCCCCCTCGTATGGATTTCTGAAGTTGTGTCATGTTACATTATAGAGATGCATACCTCAAGTATATAAAAGTTACACTTGGCATGTTCAGGATCTCTTGTTCTAATTAAACTCTTCCAATTAATTTTGTTGAAGCTATCCTTAAAGATTGAAGGAAGTTTCCAGGTAAATGTTAATTTGAAGAGTTCATTGAAAATGCAAAGTCAGGCAGTGCACTTAATTTACCTTATTTTTTCAAGAGGAAACATCAGGATTGCAAGTTCATCTTTCTAGATATTATCTTGTTTAATGAGATCGTCTAGCTATTCTGGTATTTGCCAGTGTTTGCAGGGCTGGGATGAGACTGTAAGCCTAAGGTGTGAGAAATTTGATAGGCACTGACTCTGGAAAAGAGGTTTTCTTTAACGGTTTTGTTCTGTCCTTTTGGCAAAGAGTGCCAGGAATCCTTCCAAGCCATAAAACACTGAAAGTCGTCACAGAGAGAATACAGCCCAAGAAACAAAACTAGCATAGTGAAGGCAGCAGGCTAAATAATTTTCTTTGTTTGCATTGTTAGACTGAATTACTCTGTAATATCTTGCCAGGGGAATTTGTAGCTCTTTGGGAACGGTGAGGCTACACACCTATTGCTGAGTGTCGAATTTGACACCTCATTTCTTCTAACTGCCAGAGGTAAAGTGGTTAGTCTAGTGTCTGGGGTAGGTTTTTGTAAGGCGACGTGCTCCCATAGTACCGGGTACAGTCTTGTGTCAGGTGCGCTGAGGCTGTGGTAGGTGCACCTTACCAGTGCTTTGAATAAATTGTTAGACCTCAGACCAGCCAGCCAGTAATGTCCTCTCCCCAGTGAGTGAAGTGCTAAGAAGTCGCTGTCCTGCGTCTCTCAGCCTTGTTCAGAGTTGGAAATCTTGGAAATCCACAGAAAGGAAGAACGTTACCTGCTTTTAAAAACACACTTCCCTCAAAAATGGAGAGGTGAACACTCGAAATATGTACTGCTACCACTAATAGCATGGAAGTTTTTCTTTTAAAGATAGAAGCAGCTGTGGAAGAAGTGAAAGGGAAATTGAGTGGGTTTTTTGACAGTCTTCTAAACTAAAAATATTTTTGGGGACAAACACTTTTATTTTAGTAAACTCTAAGTAGTCTCCACAGGTATCTAAAGTTGATGCTCTGCTATTGGGAGCTTACCTTAATTTAATTTAGGCATTTCATTGGTAGTGCTGGATTTTCCACAGTATGTTTTACAGCAACATCAAAACAAAACCAATAATGCTTATCTGGAGAGAATAAATTATGTAAGGGAGGGAAATAGCTGCTTTTACAATTAGCCTCAAAGGATGCAATTGCAGTGTGAGTTTTTGTCTCTCTGGGGCATAGATGTCATGTAGTGTATAAGCACTTTGTTGTGAAGTCAAACTGCTGTGCTTCTGTCCTGTCTTGTTAAGAAAATACTTGCAATGCATATGACTAATATGGGAATGCTAATGAGTTTTCCCTGAGGCATTTTTACATGGGTAATACAATTTTATACAAATAGTGTATATGTAATATGTATGCCTGCATGCATGGTCTGTATATAAACAGATGCAGAAATATATCTATATACAAATAGTTTTGTATACAAACATCTGGGTCTGACAGATACTGTAAGAGAATGCCGTTGGTCATTTGACAGTGTGGGAGTATGTGGCTTGTAAACAGCCAAAACAAATGTACCTTAAGCTGTCTTCCGTGGTTCTTCGGGAGGAGATGACTCAGTATTTCACTGATGTCATTTCAGATTCCAAATCCTGGGATCCCTTTGCTGACATTCCGGGCTAAGCGTGGCTGCCCGAGAGGTTAACAGCTAATCTGAAGCCTGCCTCTGGTTACCGAAAATGTGAAACTGGAGTTTGTTCAGTTCTGTAGGCTGGTATTAAGTCATCAAAAATGACTGCAGCCTTGCAGATGCTGGAAGTTGTCACATCATAGATATCAAATCCGTATTATTGATTCTCAGAAAACAGTTGTGCTATGAACGTTTGTGTACAGATCAGGCTGTGAGGGACAGTTAGGATCTCTTCCTGCATGAGGAACCTCTTAATTTTTTGCATCAAATCTACGGCTTATCCCTGGGCATGTAGTTGTAGTTTTGGGAGAGCAGCCTTGTTCTAGAATGTAAAAGTGATACAAGATTCAGAGTTCAAGTTGTTCAATTAATTGCTTTTAAAAACTGTGTCTTATCCGAGATCTGAGTTAGTGCAGCCTCAGCTTCCAGCCGTCCGGGGCCTCCTTCAGCTCGAGGAAGGAGCTGTCAGTTATTGAACCTCTTCCCTTGCAGCTTCCTTCAGCCAGTGATCATCAAGTCACTTTTAAATTAATTATTTTTTTAAAAGTACATATGATTGTTTGTACAGCTTGCGTAATTCTACAGTTCTTCCACACACACTTTGCAAGACGTCAGTAACTTTTTGGAAGGTTGTACAGTAAATTTAGGCAGAGTCATCAAACATCCATCTTCACAAATGCTAGATAAAGATATTATCTCAGTATTCAGGCTTGCTAGCCCTCTACTTATGTATCCAAACCCTACCTCCTTATCAGCTACATAATTGATCTGGAGACCTATGTTGTAATGGGTTGCTTTCATCAAAAGACCTTTCCAGTGACAGGGGACGCTCTCTGCCACCTTGTGTGACTTTAATTTTTTCAGAGCTAGGACCCCTGTATTTGCCTGCATTAAATGGTACTGTTCAAGTGAATTCATTGTCATTGTGATCAGTTTTGTAACGCTTCAGTTTTGCCAATCATGAGTTTCTTATGATTGTCATCAAGTGATGTTGGATCCTCCAAACTGTAGTTACGCACATAGTAATATTTTTCTGTATACGCTGTATTTCCCCTTTCAGCTTATGAGCTCAACCTCATGTTCTCTTCCTGTGCAGGCTCTGTCCTCTTGGTAACCTTCTCATCAGTATTGGGGCCTGCTTTTAGGTCCCTCTAAAGCCTTCTCCCTTCCTCCAACAAGCCCTGTTCCTCAGCCTCTCCGTCCCCTGAGGACTTCCCAGCAGAGCTGGGGGGGCTGAGTGTGCCCCAGAGGCGAGGCTTTGCGTTTGGCCTCACTGAGCCTCCTGAGGCTGCTGTCGGCCTTTCCTCCAGCCCATGCAGGTCCCTCCGGAGGGTGGATTTGCCCTCCGGCGCATTGACTGCATCCTCTTTAGTGTCTGTATTTCTGTAGATCTGGAGCCAACTGCCACACTCACAGTTTTTAAACTCAAGCCTTCTTGCAAGCTCTTTGTGGCTTTCGGCATTTAATAAAGCATTCAGATAAAACGGTAGTTTCCCTTCACTCTTCTTCTCACCCCCTGCCTTCATTTAACTCATAATAGTTTCCAGCTTAGGGGAAGTTTGCATTGTTCATTTTCGTAGTGTTACATTTTAGAATGTTCTGGTGCCCACATTGCCCTGCGGTTAGGTCACAATCACTGGAATATAAGCAACCATCCTGTCTTGGCTTAGACCTCAATAAATCGGAATAAAAAGATGATTGATATCTCTCTGTAAACTAAGTAGGTGTTTCCCAACATTCAGTCTCCTCACACTGATACAATGTTATCAGTTTGGTAGTATGAGTTTTCTTGTGGAGTTTAAAGAACTGCTTACTGGTTAATTAGCTGGGATCACTTTGGATTTAGCAGAGAGGTCAGCCTGTCAGTAACTACGTGGATGGCCAGAGCCGTTAACTGTCAATAGAATTGAGTCCACAGATTCCTAATGAATGAGCAAGTGTTTAAGTTTTAATGACTACTCACTTAAAAATTATGTGCTAAGAATTGTAGGATTTGCTGGTTTGTATGGTGAACAAGTAGGGCTCCCTTGATTTGCTTTCTGTGGCAGCCAGGTAGGCTGAATACTGAAAGAATAGGGATATACCTTGGTAATATAAAATGGAATCAGTTTAGTAGTTCAGAACTTATGTATTCCTGAGCTAGAGATGCTATAGGTGTTGTGTCTGCTATTTGTTAGCTGAAATCTAGAAAATACTTTCCATATGTACATCGGTCATGGTTGTTTTGAGATACTGTCTCAGGACATTGCAATTTACTGGGTTCCTTAAAAGCCGTTAGATTTCCTAGTTGTGGTTGCCTTTGCCAAAAAAGCATTTCAAAGCCATAGGTGCAGTACACAACAAGAAAATTCGTTACACTGTTCGTGTGGCTTAAAGTGGAAACATTTTTCCAAATATTCCTTAGCTTTCTTCCTCACTGAGGCCTGCCATATCAAGAATGATAATGTTGTGTCCTACTTTAATTGTATTTGCCTGTTGTATTTGGTGCAATTTAAGAGGCTAAAGCAATTTTTGTCATCCTGCAGATTAGCAAACACTCATTTACTTGTTCATCCATGCAGTCTTGAG